AAAAAAAAAAAAAAAAAAAAAAAAAAAAAAAAAAAAAAAAAATTAAAAAAAAAAAAAGAAAATGTGATATGTGTATATATATATATACAGCATAGAATACAATACCATGCAGCCATAAAAGGAACAAAATCATGTCCTTCGCAGCAACATGGATGCAGCTAGACGCCACTATCCTAAGTGAATTAATGCAGGAACAGAAAAGCAAATACCACGTTCTTACTTATAAGTGGAAGCTAAACATTGGGTACTATGGACATAAAGATGGGAACAGGCTACGCACAGCAGCTCACACCTGTAATCCCAGCACATTGGGAGGCCAGGGCTGACCAAACACTTAAGGTCAGGAGTTCGAGACCAGCCTGGCCAACATGGTGAAACCCCCACCTCTACTAAAAATACAAAAATTAGCTGGGCATGGTAGCACATGCCTGTAATCCCAGCTGCCCAAGAGGCTGAGGCAGGAGAATCACTTGAACCCAGAGGCAGAGGCTGCAGTGAGCTGAGATCATGCCACTCAGTGAGCTGAGATCCAGCCTGCATGACAATTAAAAAAAGGAACACCAGACAATGGGGCCTAGCAGAGTGGGGAAGAGGGGAGGGCAGCAAGGCTTGAGAGGCTGAGAGTTGGGTGTCATGCTTACTGCCTGGGTGATGGGATCATTTGTGCGCTAAACCTCAGCATCGTGCAATTATACCCATGTGACAAACCTGCACATATACCCCATGAATCTAAAATAAAAGTTGTAATTATTTTTTTAAATTTACCTTATGGGGCCAGGCACAGCAGTTCATACCTGCAATCCCAGCACTCTGGTAGGCCGAGGTGGCCAGATCACGAGGTTAGGAGATGCTGGCTAACAAGGTGAAACCCTGTCTCTACTAAAAATAAAAAAATTAGCCAGGCATGGTGGCGGGCACCTGTAGTCCCAGCTACTCAGCAGTCTGAGGCAGGAGAATAAATGTTTTCCAGGAGAGGGTGGTACTCCCACCTTCCCAAATTAGACCATCGATTTTCTCCTATTCAGTTTGATCTGGGAGAGGGCACCATAAATGGTCCTGGGCTTTTTTTGGTTGGCAGGCTATTTTATTTATTTATTTATTTATTTATTTATTTAGATGGATTTTCACTCTTGTCACCCAGGCTGGAGTGCAGTGGCACGATCTCTACTCACTGCAACCTCCACCTCCTGGGTTCAAGTGATCCTCCTGCCTCAGCCTCCTGAGTAGCTGGGATTACAGGTGCCCGCCACCACGCCCAGCTAGTTTTTGTGTTTTTAGTAGAGATGGAACCCAACCACATTGGCTAGGCTGGTCTCAAACTCCTGACCTCAGGTGATCTACGCACCTCGGCCTCCCAAAATGCTGGGATTACAAGTGTGAACCACTGTACCCGGCCAGAAGGCTGTGCATTACTGCCTTAATTTCGGAACTTGCTATTGTTCTATTCAGGGATTCAACTTCCTGGTTCAGTCTTGGAAGGGTGTATGTGTTCAGGAATTTATCAATTTCTTCTAGATTTTCTAGTTTACTTGCATAGAGGTGTCTGCAGTGTTCTCTGGTGGTGGTTTGTATTTCCATGGGGTCAGTAGGGGTATCTCCCACATTTCTGATTGTGTTTATTAGAATCTTCTTTCTTTTCTTCTTTATTAGTCTAGCTAGCCGTCTATTTTATTCATTAAAAAACTGGATTCATTGATTTTTTTAAAGGGTTTTTCATGTTTCTGTCTCCTGCAGTTCCATTCTGAGGTTGGTTATTTCTTGTCTTCTGCTAGCTCTGGGTTTTGTTTGCCCTTGGTTCTTTAGTTCTTCTAGTTGTGATGTTAAGATGTCTATTCAAAATCTTTCTAGCTTTTTTTTGTGGTAGTTTAGTGCTATAACTTTCCATCTTAACACTGCTTTAGCTGCATCCCAGAGATTCTGCTAAGTCGTCTCTTTGTTCTCATTAGTTTCAAAGAACTTCTTTATTTCTGCCTTAATTTCATTATTTGCCCAGAAGTCATTCAGGAGCAGGTTGTTCAATTTCCATGTAGCTGTGTGGTTTTGAGTGAATTTCTTAATCTTGAGCTCTAATTTGATTGCACTGTGATCTGAGAGACTGTTATGATTTCCGTTCTTTTGCATTTGCTGAGGGCTATTTTACTTCCAATTATGTGAACAATTTAAAAAAAAATGTTTATAATAAAGACAGGGTTTCACCATGTTGGTTAGGCTAGTCTTGAACTCCCAACCTCAGGTGATCCGCCCGCCTTGGCCTCCAAAGTGCTTCGATTACAGGGGTGAACCACCACACCCAGCCGTGATCAATTTTAGAGTAAGTTCCATGTGGCACTGAGGAAAATGCATATTCTGGTGGGTAGAGAAGGAAAAAAATGCATATTCTGTTTTTGTTGGGTGGAGAGTTCTGTAGATATCTACCAGGTCCACTTGATTCAGAGTTGAGTTCAAGTCCTGAACATCTTTGTGAATTTTCTGTCTCAGTGATCTAATATTGACAATGGGGTATTAAAGTATCCCACTGTTATTGTGTGGGTGTCTAAGTCTCTTTGTAGTCTTTACGAATGTGTTTGATGAATCTGGGTGCTCCTGTATTGGGTGCATGTATATTTAGAATGGTTAGCTCTTCCTGTGGAATTGAACCCTTTGCTGTTACGTAACACCCTTGTTTGTCTTTTTTGACCTTTGTTGGTTTAAAGCTTATTTTGTCAGAAACTAGGATTGCAACCCCTGCTTTTTTCTTATCTTTTTTTCTTTTGAGACAGAGTGTCTCTCTTTTTGCCCCAGGTTGGAGTGCAACGCATCCTGGGTTCAAGCAGTTCTCCTGCCTCAGCCCCCCCGAGTAGCTGGGATTACAGGCACTCACCACCATGCCCAGCTAATTTTGTATTTTTAGTAGAGACAGGGTTTCTCCACGTTGGCCAGGCTGGTTTGAACTCCTGACCTCAGGTGATCCGGCTGCCTTGGCCTCCCAAAGTGCTGGGATTACAGACATGTGCCACCGCACCCGGCCCAAACCCTGCTTTTTTCTGCTTTCCATTTGCTCGGTAAATATTCCTCCATCCCTGTATTTCAAGCCTATGTGTGTCTTTGCATATGAGTTGTGTCTCTTGAATACAGCACACTGATGGATCTATCTAGCTTATTCTGTGTCTTTTAATTGGGGCATTTAGCCATTTGCATTTAAGGTTAACATTGCTCTGTGTGAATTCGATCCTGTCATCATGCGCTGGCTAACTCTGCAGACTTGTTAATGTAGTTGCTTCATAGTGTCATTGGTCTGTGTACTGCAGGGTGTTTTTGTAGTGGCTTGGAGTAGGTTTCCTTTCCATGTTTAGTGCTTCCTTCAGGAGCTCTCACAAGGCAGGCCTGGTGGTGATGAAATCGTTCAGCATTTGCTTGTCTGAAGAGGATTTTATTTCTCCTTCACCTATGAAGCTTAGTTTGGCTGGATTTGAAATTCTGGGTTAGAAAGTCTATTTTTTTTTTTTTTTTTTTTGAGATGGCGTCTCGCTCTGTAGCCCAGGCTGGAGTGCAGTGGCATGATCTTGTCTCATTGCAACCGCGGCCTCCCAGGTCCTGGTTCAAGCAATTCTCCTGCCTCAGCCTCCTGAGCAGCTGGGATTACAGGCACATGCTACTATGTCCGGCTAAGTTTTGTATTTTTAATAGAGACGGGGTTTCACTATGTTGGCCAGGCTGGTCTTGAACTCCTGACCTTGTGATTCTCGGCCTCCAAAGTGCTGGTATTACAGGGGTGAGCCACTACGCCTGGATGTTTTTCTTTTAACAGTCAGGCCCCTCTTCTGCAGGTCTGCTGCAATTTGCCGGGGGCCCACTCCAGACCCTGTTCGCCTGGGTATCACCAGTGGAGGCTGCAGAACAGCAGAGATTGCTGCCTGCTCCCTCCTCTGGCAGCTTTGTCTCAGAGGGGCACTGGCCTGATGCCAGCCAGAACTCTCCTGTATGAGGTGTCTGGTGACCCCTCTTGGGAGGTCTCACCCAGTCAGGAGGCAGGAGATCAGGGACCTGCTTAAGGAAGCAGTCTGGCTGCCCCTTAGCAGTGCGGGGGGACCCCCCTCATCCAGATCACCGGGACTCTTCTGAGCCAAAAGGCAGGAAAGATTAAGTCTGAGAAATCTGAGACTGCGGCCACCACTTCCCCCAGGTGCTCTGACCCAGGGAGATGAAAGTCCTGTCTATAAACCCCTGGCTGGAGGCGCTGCCCGCGAGAAGGGATGGGTCTGGTTCCCACCTAAAGTCTGGCCACGATCTGCCACAGCTGCTGTGCTTCGCTGTGGGGATTTCTGCCCCGTGCAAACCTCACAATCTCCCTAGCATTGGCCGGGGAAAACTGCCCACTAGAGCCGCAGTAATGGCGGTGGACCCTCCACCTCCCACCCAAAACTCGGTCATCTTAGGCAGACTCCAGGCTGCTGTGCTGGCCAGCAGGGACTCCAAGCCAATGGGTCTTAGCTTGCAGGGTTCCATGGGAGTGGGACCTGCTGAGTGAGGCTGCCTGGCTCCCTGGCTTCAGCCCCCTTCCCATGGGAGTGGATGGGTCTCCGGCCTCAGTGGAGTTCCAAGACCTGCTGAAATAGGCAGAAACTCCTGCAGCTCAGTGCTGCTTGAGCGGCCCTGACCCCTGCAGCTGCCACGGGCCTGCACAGCTCTGTGGTCGGTACCCAAGGCCCTGGTGGTGTGGGAACAGGAGGGGATCTCCTGCCAGGCTGATTACAAACATCCCTGGGGAAAGCGGGATTCTCTGGGAGGCAGCGCGATCTCTCACTGCCTCCCTTGGTTGGGGGAGGGAGACCCTTTGCCCCATGCAGCTCCTGGGTGAATGGTCACCCCACCCTGCTTTTCCTTGCTCTCTGTGGGTCACAGCAACCGCCTAGTCAGTTTCAGTGAGAGAATCTGGGTACCACAGCCGGAAATGCAGAATTCACGTTTGTCTTTGTGTAGCTGTTTCTACTCGGCCATCTTGGCCCCTCCTCTGCCCTGCTTCCCTTTTAAATATAAGTTCCAGTTTCAGATAATTCCTTTGTTCACGCATATGAGCATACACTGTTAGAAGCAGCCAAGCTACGTCTTGAATGCTTTGCTGCTTAGAAATTTCTTCTGCCAGATACAATCATCTCTCTCAAGTTCAAAGTTTCACAGATCTCTAGAGCAGGGGCAGAATGCCACTAGTTTCTTTGCTAAAGAATAGTTCCCAGTAAGTTCCTCATCTCCATCTGAGACCTCCTTAGTCTGGACTTCATTGTCTGTATCACTATCAGCATTTTGGTTGCAACAATTTAACAAGTCTCTATGAAGTTCCTAACTTTCCCACATCTTCCTGTCTTCTGAGCCCTCCCAGCTGTTCCAGCCTCTGCGTGTTATCCAGTTGCAAAGTCGCTTCCACATTTTCAGGGATCTTCATAGCAATGCCCCACTTTTCTGGTTCCAGTTTTCTGTATTATTTCATTCTCACACTGCTGCAAAGAATTACCTGAGACTGGTGATTTATAAAGAAAAGAGGCTTAATTGGCTCATGGTTCTGTGGGATGTACAGGCTTCTGTTTCTGGGGAGGCCTTGGGAAACTCACAATTGTGGTGGGAGGGGAAGGGGAAGCAGGCAAATCTTCACATGGCCGGCAGGAGAGAGAGAGTGAAGCGGGAAGTGCTACACACTTCTTCAAACAGCCAGATCTTGCGAGAACTCTATAATGAGAATGGGAAGGGGGAAGTCTGCCCCGTGATTCAATCACTTCCCACCAGGCCCCTCCTCCAACACTGGAGACCACAGCTCAAATGAGATTTGGGTGGGGACACAGGATCAAACCATACCGATGGAGGAGTATTCATGCATCTCTTCATCAAATAGGAGGTCTGAAGGCAAAGGGGGCCTCCCATAAGTCATTTCAGTTGGGCTAGGTGTTAGGATTCCCTTTAGGGCCATCCTCCTGTTAAAAGAGGTATGGGTCGGAGAGAAACACTGGCCTCTGAGGTCTCCTGATGGAGTTTTGCTAATGTCCTTTGAAAACCATGATTGGCTTTTTCTTTCTTTCCTTTTTTTTTTTTTTTTAAGATGGGGTTTCATCATGATGGCCAGGCTGGTCTTGAACTCCTGACCTCAGGTGATCCACCCACCTCGGCCTCCCAGAGTGCTAGGATTACAGGCGTGAGCCACCGCACCCAGCATGATTGGCTTTTTTCTCCCTCACCTGAGGACTGAGGCTTCCGGGAGGAGTGAATGTGCTAGGTACTGCCTGAGGAACCTGCTGGGCCACCTTAGCTGTAAAGGACAGTCCATTATCACTCTGCAGACTTTTTGTTAATCCAAACTTTGGGATGATCCCTTTAAATAAGAATTTGGACACTTCTAATGCTTTTTCTGTCCTTGTGGGGAAAGCCTCTATCCACTCAGTGAAAGAGTCTATGAATACCAGTAAATATTTTAGTCCCTCACAAGGTGGCATCTGGGTGAAATCTACTTGCCAGGCTTCCCTTGGGTATGTCCCTTGATGTTCAGGTTAGAGTAGGGGTGAGGGCATGGGGTGGCTTCCTGGGTTGGTGCAGGCACAAAGTTCACAGGCCCTCGTGACTGTTTTCACAGTCGGGAATAGCTTCTTTCCCAAAAAACTGGAGAAACCAATGTGAATAGGGAGTCCTGTCCCAATGTGGGGAGTTGTGGAAACGCTTATTTTCTCCTGCGCAGCCTCGGAGAGAAAGAGCTTGTTGTTTTCTGGCAACCACCCTGACGAAGGCTTTGCAAGCCTTCCCTTCCTCCCTCCCTCCCTCCCTCCCTCCCTCCCTTCCCCCGCTTTTTTTTTCCTTTCTTTCTTTTTGAGACGGAGTCTTGCTCTGTCACCCAGGCTGGAGTGCAGTGGTGCAATATCGGCTCACTGCAACCTCCGCCTCCCAGGTTCAAACAATTCTTCTGCCTCAGCCTCTCAAGTAGCTGGGATTTCAGGTGTGCACCACCATGCCTGGCTAATGCTTTTTTCCTATTTTTAGTAGAGATGGGGTTTTACTGTTAGCTAGGCTGGTCTTGAACTCCTGACGTCAGGTGATCTGCCTGCCTCAGCCTCCCAAAGTGCTGGGATTACAAGCATGAGCCACTGCGCCCGGCCTTGTAAGCCTTCCTGTCCTGCTCATTTACTTTCATCGAGTCCACAGGTGCTCCTGCTGCAGGTGCAGTTCCCAGCATTAGACCACGGTCTGGAATTCTGCTGTTCTTTTCCTGCGGCCTTGGCTGCTCTGTCCGCTAGGACATTTCCTTTGGGATAGTAGAGGTGGCTCCCTTTTGGTGTCCCCTCAGTGAGTAACTGCCACCTCCTTTGGGAGCTGGACAGCATCTAAAATTCCAAGATCTCAGAGCAATGTTGTGTGGGGATTCCTTAGCTGTCAGTTTTCCCTCTTCTTTCCATATGGCGTCCTGAGCCTGGAGCACCAGGCACCCGTATTTGGAATCGGTAAATATGTTGACTCTTTAGTCTTTTCCCAGTTGGAGGGTCCTGATTAGACCAGTTAATTCTACTTTTTGAGCAGATGCCTGGGGATGTCAAGCTTTGGCCTCCATGACTTCTTGTTGGTTAACTACTGCATAACCCATCTTTCTTACTCCTCACGAATAAAACTACTTCCATCTCTAAGCTGCTCAACATCACGGCTACACAGGGGCTCATCTTCGGGGTCAGGCCTGCTAGAGTAGGTCTGTTCTAGGGCTTCCACACAGGAGGGAATGAGTTGGGGATCTGTTTCCTGGGGCATGAAGTCCAGCAACAAGGGAGCAGGGTTTAAAGCTCAACATACTTTAAGGGGAGCATCTGGGGTATCAAACAGAAGGGCCTGATATTTAAGTAACCAGCCCCCTGTTAGCCATTGGTGTCCCTTTGCCTCTAGGACCCCCTATACTTGGTGGGGGGGATCATGACATCTCATCGTTGTCCCAGGGTAAACGTACTGGCTTCTGTCAGTAGAGTGGTGGTGGCTACACTTACAGTACCCTGGCCGCGCAGCCACCACCTGGTCTAGTTGTTTGGGAAAGGAAGCCACTGGCATAGGGTCATTCCTGAGACTCTGCTTCAGGCTGCCTAAAGCTCCCCTTTGTTCCTCAGCCAAGGTGAAAGGGTGGAGCTGAACCACATCTAAAAGTTCATCTAAAGGGTGAAAGTTTTTCTATGTCTGGGAGTCCCAGAGTAGGGGCTGTTCCCAGGTTTTCTTCTAAAATTAGGACTACCTGTTGGCAGGTTCCAGCCCAATTTAAAGGCCCACGATCACTCCCTTTCAGAGCTTCATAAAGTCGTTTTGCTATGAGCCCAAACCCAGCAGAACCTGGCCATTCCCCAAAAGGCCCGTTTCTTAGCCTCAGGAGGCTGGAGGGCCAGGACGGTCTCTTTTCACTCCTGAGTCAAAGTCCATGTCCCAGGAGTGAGCACATACCCTGAATACTTGGTCTTCTGCACAGAGATCTGGGCCTTATGGGGGACACCTGATGCCCTTGTTTTTCCAGAAAATTAAGGGGCTGGATTGTGTTCTATCAGGGACTTCCCTAGAAGGACTGTAAATTAATAAGTCATCACGTATTGCAAAAGGAACCCATTAGTTAATTGTAGTTCCTTTAACTCTTTTGCCAATGCATTGCCAAAGAGATGGGGACTGTCACTAAAACCTTGAGAAAGGATTGTTCAGTTAAGCTAAGAGGCAGCATGAGTGCCTGGATCAGTTCATTCAAAAGCAAAAATATACTCGGAGTGCACGTGTAAAGGTATACGAAAGAAAACATCTGGGCTGGGCGCGGTGGCTTCTGCCTGTAATCCCAGCACTTTGGGAGGCTAAGAGGGGCGGATCACCTGAGGTCAGGAGTTCAAGACCAGCCTGGCCAACACCGTGAAACCTTGCCTTTACTAAAAATACAAAAATTATCCAGATGTAGTGGTGCACACCTGTAATCCCAGCTACTTGGGATGCTGAGGCAGAAGAATTGCTTGAATCCAGGAGACAGAGGCTGCAGTGAGCCGAGATCACACCACTGCACTCCAGCCTGGGTGACAGGGCAAGACTCTGTCCCAAAAAAATTTTTTTTGGATTAAAAACTGTGTGCTTGCGGCCGGGCATGGTGGCTCACACCTGTAATCCAAGCACTTTGGAGGCCAAGGCGGGCGGATCACCTGAGGTCGGGAGTTCAAGACCAGGCTGACCAACATGGTGAAACCTCATCTTTTAAAAAAATAAAAAAAAATGTGCTATTTACACGAAGCCCACTTTAAATATAAACACAAATAAGATAAAGGGAAAATGATGTAAAAGGCCAACAATAATCAAATGACACCTGGAGCAACGACATTCACATCAGGTGAAACAGACCTCAGAGTAAGAAGTATCACTAGGGATGGAGAACATCATTTCATAGTGGTGAAAGTCATTCATTAAAGGTATATAACAATTACGTGAATAACAGAACCTCAAAATGCATGAAGCAAAATCCGATAGCAGTGAAAGGAGAAATAGAGAAATATGCAATTATGGTTGGAGATTTCAACACCCTTCTTTAAGACCTGAACAGGTAAACAGAAAATCAGTAAAGATAAAGATGTAAATAACGCTACCTACCAACTTAACCATTACAGGACACTCCATCAGCACCAGTACTGTACGTGTTGTTCTCAAGCACATTCTGTTTACCAAGATAGACTGTACTTTGTGTCAAAAGCACGTATAAGTAGGCCAGGTGCAGTGGCTCACACCTGTAGTCCTGGCACTTTGGGAGGCTGAGAGGGGAGGAGCATTTGAGCCCAGGAGTTGGAGACCAATCTGGGCAACATGTGAGACTTGGCCTCCACAAAAAAATGGTAAAACTAGCTGAACATGGTGATGCACACCTGTGGTCCCAGCTACTTAGGAGGCTGAGGAGGGAGGATCATTGAACCCAGGGGGTCGAGGCTGCAGTGAGTCATGATGGTGCCACTGCACTCCAGCCTGGGCAACAGAGTGAGACTCTGTCTCAAAAAAAGTATAAATAAATTTAAAAGGACTCAAATAGTTAAAAACATGTCCTTTGATTACATCAAATTAAATCAGAAGTCAATAAGGAAAAATATCTGAAAAATATTCCAAATATTTGGCAACTAACCAATACTTTTTTTTTTTTTTTTGAGACAAAGTCTCATTCTGTGGCCCAGGCTGGAGTGCAGTGGCATGATCTCAGCTCACTGCAACCTTCGCCTCTCTGGTTCAACTGATTCTCCTGCCTCAGCCTCGCACGTCACCACACCTGGCTAATTTTTAAAAATATTTTTAGTAGAGATGGGGTTTCACCAGTTTGGTCAGGCTGGTCTTGAACTCCTGACCTCAGGTGATCCACCTGCCTTGGCCTCCCAAAGTGCTGGGATTACAGGCATGAACCACTGTGCCCAGCCAATACACTTCTAAGTAACTTTTCAATCAAGGAAGAATCACAATAAAATTAGAAAGCATTTTGAACTAAAGATGACAACTCTTATCAATATTTGTGTGATGCACTGAAAACATCAAATGCTTATATTAGAATATAAGAAAAGTATCTTCTAGACGTTTGTTCATGTGAAAAAAATAAAAATGATTAATCAGGAAACAACTTGATGACTTCTATTATCTCAGTTTTCATAAATCATATAGGTGAAGTGTTAAAAATAAATTAGGTAAATGTAAATAGGATAAACATTTTAAAATTAATTTTTCATGTAATTTGAAGTCTTTATGTTATGATAAATTAAATGATAGATACTCATAAATGTCTGAGTCATTTCCAAACAAGCTAAAAAAATGAAACAAACTGATGAAAGTTAAGTTTGTTCTTGGATTCCTAAATTTCACAAGACTACATATATTTAGGTCTATTAATACACATAAAAATTATGCATTATTTTGATACATAAGTTTTCAGCATTTTTACATTTATATTACACTATAAATTTTGCTACATATGCTATTTTACCCTCATGTTGCAAGGTTTATAGGATGTTATTTTTGTTATTATTCTAAATATTTTATAATTTCCCTTGTGATTTATTTGACCTATGTGTTACTAAATTTGTGCATTTAGCCAGGCG